AAAAAAAAAAAAAAAAAACCGAAACACCACCACGATTCAAATTTCAAACAAAACACAAACACAGGGTTTTTTCAACTTTTTTTTTTTTTTTGCTTAGATTAAAAAGAAGAGGAAGTAAACTTAATAAAGGAATGAAGGGTAAAGATCATTCCCAGATTGTTTAAACTTTATTAAAGGTGCTGAAAATGAAAGAATGACAAAGATTAGGGTAAAGATCATTCCCAGATTGTTTAAACTTTAAAGGTGCTGAAAATCAAAGAATGACAAAGATTCTTATGTACAGAAGAACCCAACTGTGGATTGCCGGTGATAAGTAAGCGGACTGAAGCCCCCCAGAATAGATGGTTCGCCCACGTGTGTGTGTTGTGTTAAAAAAAAAAGAAAAAAGAAAAAAGAAAAGAAAAAAGAAAAGGTTCTTACGTACTGAAGAAAAGAACCCAACTGTGGATTTTTTTAATTTTATTTTTCCCCCACTCGAGGACTTTTTTTTTTTTTTTAATATGATACTGGGAACCGGTCCCAGCGTCGCTCACATGCTTTGTGTGGCCCTGAAGGACAGCGGCATTGATTGTTGATTCTGATTTTGTTCCATTTTTAGTGGACGCCCCGGAGGACAGCGGCATTGATTTTGATTTTGTTTCTTTCCTTATTGGCCTCTTTTTTTTTTTTTTTTCAAGTGACTGAGTTTGAAATGAATGCCCTATGCCCTCGCACTCCTATTCGGATCCGGTTTGCTTGGAATGCAGCCCTAATAGGAGTCTAACATGTTGTCCTATTAGGGGACTCCGATTAGGGGTACCACTTTGTCCCGTTAGCAGTGGAAACATTTTGTCCAATTAGGGGTACCAATTTGTCCTATTAGGGGTACCATTTTGTCCTCGTAGGGGGTACCACTTTGTCCTATTAGGGGTACCATTTTGTCCTATTAGAAATTAGAAAAAATCTGATTTGCTTGGTGGTTGTGGAAAGCCGGGGCTCCCAGCTATAGGCGTATGGGTCTCGCCGCACGGCACACGAAACGAAAACGAAACGAGTGCATCTGCCCACGAAAGGTGGCAAAATACACCCGTTACTATTTATAGCAAACCGATGAACCTGGTCATTTTTTGCGGGAAGATGCACTCGTTTCGTTTTTCGTTTCGTGTCCTGTGCAGCGACGCCCTATGTATGTGGTAGGCACAGATAGCATGAGATATCACATCATATTGTTGTAGTCTTGATTTTTTCTTCCTAACTACTTTCTATTCTTGTCTCAAATTCCCTCATATTTCACTACCTAGTACCTACCTACTACTACTCCTAAGGCTATACAGGGGACCCCTAACTATTGGTCTTTTCTTGTCATTGTCTGAATCTGGAAGACATGTGCCTACTGTCTTCACATGAATGGAATGGTTGGTCATTATATATGTGTATTTGAGGCAGCTTTCAGTCTCGATACGGCGATAACGGCTGGTCATTCCATTCAGGTGAAGACGGTAGGGGCCACTCTTTCCCTGTGGCCTTTGGGAAAATGCAAATATCGCGGACAACTTGAGCTCATCGACCATAAATGAATCTGGCCAGAATCACTGTCAGGTACCTGCAGACAGTCCTAGGGAGGGTGCTTTCTGAACACTATTCATAAAATGTCGTACTCGAACTAGAAATTCTTCAATCGAATCTGGGCGTAATTATTGTCAGATCATGTCAGACAGTCCTAATGCATCTATAGTGTCAGTGAAAGGACTCGAGAATGCCGGCTGTGAGTGCATTCTGTATGTGAGAGACGACAATATCGCACTGATGAAGACTTGGCAGAGATGGCTAATCTCTCTCTCTCTCTCTCTCTCTCTCTCTCTCTCTCTCTCTCTCTCTCTCTCTCTCTCTCTCTCTCTCTCTCTCTCTGTATGTGTGTGGCCTCTGTGCGTGTGGTTGTCCGTGTGTGATGGTGGTGGCGATGTTGCAGGTGACATCAGCACGCTTGCTGATCCAACGGTTGTGGATACTTTGATCAAATCGCGTGACCTGGAGTGAAGGATTTCGAGAGTGCAAAGTCGGTGCAAATCCAACCAATCATCGTGCGCTTTTGAAGTTTGAAGTTTGGACCATAGCTTAGTTAAGCATTCGTTGTATTGTCAGCAGCTGCTGATCTCAGGAGTTAGCAAGTAATCCTCCTGAGGAAAGCCGCTTGGTTTGCGGATAACCAAATGGCAAATACGCTGATATACGGGTAAATGTATAAGGTTGAGGGTTTAAGAAACCCCTCTCCCGCTCACATGTAAATGGATATAAGTGGATAGGTACTGATCAGCCCATGATTTTCTAAGGTTGAGGGTTTAAAAAACCCCTCTCCCGCTCGCATGTAAATGGATATAAGTGGATAAATAAGTAAGTGGCTAGGTAGATCAGCCCATCGAGTGTTTTGTGCTCGGATTCGTCCTCGTCGAGCGCTGGACGTTTTCTGTGGTGGGACTCATCTGGCTTCCAGCTAGGGGTCCAAATCCTTCGCTGTGTGCAGGTTAGTTCTAACGTCTAATTCTCTGTCGCATGTTGGATCGTCAGTTTTGCTCAGGAATATGCTCCAACGACGCGGACACACACCGTTGCTTATCTGCAAAAAAAGGTTATCTCCTCAGGAATGCTATTTGGGATAATAAGCTGAGTACGGGATAAGTGGACTAGTTTCACCCATGAGGGGGTAAGTTATGGATAAGTTTTGGATAAGTTTTGGATAAGTTTTGGATAGTTCTGGACAAGTTTTGCATCAGTTTCAGTTATGAGGGCGTAAGTTTTGATTCTACTTCTGGATAAGCATTGGATAAGTTTAGTTTTGATAAGTTTTTGATAAGTTTTTGATAAAGTTTTGATAAGTTTTTGATAAAGTTTTGATAAGTTTCTGATAAGGTTTTGATAAAGTTTTGATAAAGTTTTGGTCCAACTTCTTCTTCTTCTTCTTCTTCTTTTTTTTTTTTTTTTTTTTTGGGTCCA